CGCCGCGCATGCGCGCAGCCGGCCGGGGGCGCGTCCCTCGGGAGCGCAGCGCAACAGGCCTTGCACGCCGGCAGGCCGCCTCGCTCGGCGTCGCGAGCCCCGCGCAGCGCCTGCCGAGCGCCCCGCCGCTCCTCTGCCCGTCGCCGCCCCTCTGCCGCCGCCCTAGCGCGCCTGGCGATGAGGTCTAGGGGGTTGGGCACCGCCAGCACATCGCCCTGCCTGCGGCGCTCTGCCGCATCCGACACCTTCTGGTCCGCGCTCTCAGCATGCAGCGCCGCGCGCGCCGCGCGGCACGTCTGCGAGGGGTTGGGGGCGTGCAAGACGGCCGGGGTTTGGAAGAAGCGGACGCAGGGTGCAGGGCGCCCCGCGGAGCGACCGTGCCAAGCCGCCTGGCCGCTGCGCCTGCACATGCTGCCGCACCGCCGGGCGAGCGAGCCCCTCCCCCTCCCTGCGTTCTAGCCTTGCGCACGCCGCCCCAGCGACGCGGCGTACAAGGCCACCGCCCCGTGGTCGCGCGCGCTGCTGCGCCGCTGCTACGCCTGACGCCTCGCACGCACCAGGGGTGTGAGCGCCTGGATTGCGTCGAGCTTTGTGTCCGTCTCCGACTGCACCGCCGTGAACGCGCGCAGCAGCTCGGCGCCCAGGGTGCGCATCTCCAGGTGCGGGTCCCGCAGCAGCAGCGGCACCTGGCGGGGTCGGCGGCGCGGAGGGTCGCCGGCGTCAGGGCGGGACACGGGCAGCCCCGCGTGACGCACTCTCGGACTGAGACCGCAATGAAATTCACACCCACCATCACGCAGGCACACACACACACACACACACACACACACACACACACACACACACACACACGCGCGCGCGCACATGCACACGCGCGCGCACATGCACACACCTACACCTACACCTACACACACACATACACATACACTCACACACACACACACACACACACACACAAATGTACTTGAAACGAGCTCTGCACGCCCCGTCCCCACCGCGCCGTCCATCAGACCCCAACTTTCGCGCACCACTGCGTCTGGCCCAGACACGAGCTCCGTCGCGAAGAAGCTGGGGGAGTAGCTGCTCTCCTCGTCAGCAGACATCGCCAGCATGTAGATCCACGCGTACACCGCCACCTTGACATGCCCCAGGCTGTCGCCCGGCTTGCGCAGCGCCTGCCGCACGCGGCGCATCAGGCGGCGGGAGACCTGCGCGCGCGGCCGCGGCGCCGGGGCGGCGGGCGCGGTGTGCTGGAAAAGCGCGCGGCGGGCGCCGAGGGGGCGGGCCGGGGCGCGTGGCGGGCGGCCCCAGGCAACGCCGCCTTGGCTGCGCCGCGCGCGCCAGGCAGACGGGGGTTCCCTCGCGACGGAGCCCGCCGCGATGACGTGCTCGGCGCCCAAGGGTTGCGTAATCGTGCGCGGCAGGCGCGTGCAGCACGGGGTTCGCATGCGCAGCGTGGGGACGCACGCACGCGCCTTTGGTATCTTTGCAGGATTTTTTTGGATGTACTCCTGGACCTTTTGGATCCTGCGCCGCAGCGACGAGTCCAGCGGGTCTGTCGTCTTGATCGCCTCGCCAGCGAACAGCTGCGTCATCAGGGTGTTGTACGTCTTGCGCGGCTGCACCGATGCCGGCGCGGCGACGCAGCCGCAGCATACGCCGGGCATCTTTCGCGGCGCTGGTCGCTGGCGGATTGGGCCGGCGGCGAAGCAGCAACGCTGTGGTGCGAGCCGGTGCTGCAGCCCTTGCTCAGGTGGCTCGCCACGAGTTTATGTTACTACTGCTTAGCAGTCTCCAGGTGTACAGCGCTGCTCTGTTGCATTGTCCAAACCCAGCACTTGGATCAGATCGCTTTGGTGCCTTCACGGCAACCCCGTTTTACAGAAGTAATCAACCAGAAGACATCACCATGTTCAGAGCCACGACCTTCAGAGTCCTAAGATCGGGTCACCCTTTGTAAGGAGTCAACCGCCACCAATTCGACATGATGCAAAACCCGACACGTTTCTAGGCGTCGGATGTGCGATGACCGCAACACACACGGCCGGGTTGTGTTTCCAGGTGTCGACGATGTCTACTTCGCGCAGGTGCTTGTAAGTGTGCCGGTGCGGGGATGTGTTGACAGCAGATTTCGCTGCACACAAGGCCAACATAGATGCATGCAACACAAGTGTGCATCTATGCGAACACCAAACATCCAAATTTGATAAATCGTGCCACAGTATCATCCTCCCCTTGTCTCAACTTACCGGTACAGGTGGTTGAATGCCGTACGGTGATGTTTGGTACACCAAACGCTGGCTGTGACTGGCATGGCCCTGTGCATGCATGGCTGTGTTGGCAGGTCAGAGAGATCCAGGGGCTTGCATGGCCAAACAAACTTGCCCTGGCGTGGTTGATTTTGCAGAATGTCTACTTGTCCGCTGACGCATCGACTACGTCCATTGCTGGTTTTACCCTGCAATTCCCACCGCCCCAGGATGGGCCAAGGGGCCCCTGAAAAGATCTCATCGACTTCACGCACATCGATGACGTCTGCTGATGTCACCCCTGTCCTTCTTCAGCTTTGCTTTGCGTGCCGGCCTTCAGGCTGCAACCAAGCTTTGTGCGTCTTGCTGCCTCTCAACACAGCAGCTCTGGTGCACCTCACGCCCAGCCACGGTGTATGCGCTTTGTTCTGAATCAGCTTGCTGGGTGATGTGTTGATGCACAGCAGGTCAGATTGCTGCACCACGGTCAAATTAATCATTTGGGAGTTGACTTGTCTCCCTCGACTCCCTTGGGCTCCTCACAGTGCCCCTCAAGACTTACAATCCAATGCACCATGTGCAATAAGTGTAGAAGCGTGATAACCTCTTGACATCGATTGAGGACAGTGGGGCGCTTCCGGCGGAGCACGTCCACCATTTTGCATGCGCTGCCGCCAGGGCATGGAGCTGGTGGTCAGTGTCCCCAGCAGCCAAAAGCAATGTCAGACGCGTGTCGGCGCAATAATTGAGTTTTATGCACCACCGAAGTCTCACAGGTTACAGCAGATGCCTTGCACACGCAAATGCCTCGCAACAAGCTGCTCAGCTACGGTGTCGAATTGGATGTGCTTCTTGTCCAATAAGTTCAAGGCCTGAATAGGCCTGCCTAGACACGTTCGGTTTGTGATCAATAGTACAGTACATTGCCCAGCACGGTCACTGTCATCAAAGGCACCAGATCTCAAGGTCTCGACCAATATCCCTGCCACCTGGCTGCAGCAACACCGTGTGGATAACACAGTAGCCATGAAGTGTCTCGCATCGTCGCACACAGCGGGCAACCGACTCCTGCACAGCGCAGCAAGCCGGCGCATGCTTGCGTCGGCCGCAAACGCGCCAGCGCGGCGTGCCCTCGCCGCGTCGATCGCCCCGGCCGTCGCCGCAGCAGCTGCGACGCCTGCCGGCCGCCGGCCGCTGCGCGTCTCGGCGCGCTACTACCGCAGCAGCGCGCCGTCCGCGGCCGACCGCGTGCTCGCGGCCGCCCCCTTCCTGCTGCCCTTCCTGGACGCCTTCTCCTACGGCCGCTTCCTCTTCTACCAGTTCCCCGCGATCGCGCGCGCCGTGTCGCCGGTCGCGCCGCTGCTGTCCCTCTATCACTCGGTGCCATTCGCCGCGCTGATCTGCTTCTTCGGCATCTACATCGGCGTCGTCAACAACATGCAGCTCTCGCGCTACGTGCGCTTCAGCGCCATGCAGGCCGTCCTCCTCGACATCCTATTGGTGCTGCCGCGGCTGCTGGAGCAGCTCGTGCCGCCGCCCACGACGGCGGGGCTTGCGCTGCAGGCGTACATCGGGGCGCAGAACACGATCTGGGTCGCCGTCGCCGCGTGTGTCGTGTTTGGCGTGGGCTCGGCGCTGCTCGGCAGGGAGGCGCGCATCCCCTTTGTTGCAGACGCGGCCGAGGCGCAGATCCGATAAGACGGGCCCGGCGTGAGCAAGGCGGCGGCGGATCCTCGCCGTCGAGGGGCCGTCGGCTGCGGGGCGCCCGGCGGCGGCGGCGGCACGGGCCCGCTTCCCACCTGGCGCGCGCGCCGCGTCCTTGCGTGTGCGGCAAGCAGCAGCCGCGAGCGCAGTCGTCGTTTGCCGCGAGAGCGCTGGGTTGTGGCTGCTTGCTGGTCGCAGCTGTTTTGTGAGACCCTATTTGTCGGCACTTTGACCCGTTGCCCTGGATTTGACTGCCCTCATTTTGTTTCATGTTGCTGTGGCTGTGTGTAAACCAGACCGTCACCACGTGTCAGCCGTGCCCACCGCTGACAGCGGGCTTTGTCGAATGACAGGGCGCCTGGCAGCACAACACACCACGAGGGCTCCTGCACTCCGCAGGCTTGGGCTGACAGGGGAAGCAGCAGGCGGCCCCGACAGACGACAGTGACAGTTACAATTATGCTCAATTATGAACGAATGAAAGAGCAGTGCGGTGCTGCAGACCCATGGCATCAGCACCCCAGACGCGAGCAAAAACGCTGGGCCCCGTCACAAGGCCGCCTTATGAAAGCCCGTAGAGTGCGCCGCAAGCGGGCCTGGTTGTTGCCGTGAGGCGGCACGCGGGCGGCAGCACGCCGAGCGCGGCCGGCAGAAAACGCTTGTGGACACCACCAGACGGGCCAAGCACGCGGCCGCGATTCGGCGCGCTGTCGAGACCACGTGCGTGGGGCACGGAAGGGCAGGGGTGGCATCGGTACACGTTGTGGGAGGCTCGGCCGGCGGCCGCAAGAGCGCGTGCGCGCGCACGCGCGCGCGTCGCATGGCGCGGGGATGGAGCGTGCGGATGGGGCAGGCATTCTGCGAGGTGGCGCGCAAAGTGTGCAAATGGGTGGGCGTGGGCGAGGTCGCCGCCCCCTGCACGCCAACATGTCCGCGCCGCTCGCGCCAGCGGGCCGAGCGGCACAGACGCGCGGCGCGCGGGGCGGTCCAAGGGTGCAAGGTGTGGCGTGGGTTGTGCTCCCAACAAGACGCCGGCAGAACGACAAAGAATGGGGGGAGACCGCTGGAAGCAAGGACGGGGGTTCCCGCACAATACACATTGCTTGGGCGCCGAATGCACGCCGGTCGGCGTGTGTTTGTTGACGCGAGAGGGCGATGCAAGCCACTTGGGTGGGCATGGGTGTAGGCACAAGCACAAACACACACTGGCATGCACGCGGGGCGGTTCCCAACGGCGGGCCCCGCGGCAGTGCATGCTTCTGGTTGATTTGAAGGGACGGATACCATATAATGAGCGGGAAAAGTTGCGTGCAGTCAGCCAAAACAAGGAGAAGGAACACATCCCGACTTCCCGCTTCCTAAGGGCACGGGCGCCGCCCGCCGCCCGCGGGCTCGCAAAACGGGGCGCGGCGCGGTTGCGTCGGGCCGCGCTTTCGATTCCAAAGCGACGGCGCCGACAGACCACTCGCTGTGTTAAATCATGGGTGGGGTCGCGGGCTTGGAGGGCGCCGCGCTGGGCACAAAGCTGGTGCAAACTGTCGAGCAGCTAATCTCAGAGGCGCCCCGCGTGTGGGCGGGGCTTCTTTCGTACACATGTGGGGTGCGACTGGCGCCACGGGATGCGACGCAAAGGGGGAGCGGTCGTGTGCGCGAGGCGCGCGTGCAGAGAGAGACAATCGAGATAGAGAGAGGGCACCTGCCAGGTTTGAAAGGGGGCGGCGCCCGCACCCCTGCACACCGCTCAGTGGGGGCTGGGGGCCCGGGCGTTCTCGCCGCTTGGGTTGTGGTAAGAAGGTCCGCGCAGCACAGAAGCGGCCGCCGGCGAGGCGGGCGAAAGAGGATCCCGCCTTGCCCGCGCCTGAGATGCAAGAAATAAGAAGAACTATGTGACTGCAGCATGAAGCAGACTGTGACTGCAGGGGAGTGGGGTAAAGGGGGCGGCCGGGGAGCGAGCAGGCCGGCAGCCAAGGGGTGCAGGGGCGCGGTGCGCCGCCGCCATTTTCACGCCCAGGGCGAGCCGAGCGCCAGGCCCTGCAGCTTGCCCGCCAGCGCCTCGCCGCCCTCGCCGCCGCCCTGCGCGGCCGCCGCGGCCGCCTCGGGGTCCATGCTGCCCCAGGTCGACAGCCCCGCGCCGCCGCCGCCGCCGCCCTCGCCGCCGCCGACGTCCTGCGCCTCCAGCAGCAGCGAAGGGTCCAACGGCTCAAAGTCGCCGATCGCCGACAGGTCCGCCACCGCCCCCGCCGCGGGCCCCGCGCCGCCGCCGTCCTCGCCCTCCTCGAGCCCGCCGCCGCCGCCGTCCTCCAGCGCGCCGCCCAGCAGCTCGCCGCCGCCGCCGCCGCCGGCGCCGGGCTCGCCGAAGAAGTCGTACGTGAAGGCGTTGAAGTCGGCGGTGAGGCGCGCGAGCAGGGGGTCGGCCAGCAGGCGCTCGGGGTCGACGGGCGTGATGAGGGCGCGCGTCTCGGGCGGCGGCGCGCCGTCGCCCTCTATGAGTGCGTCCAGCACGCGGTCCGCCTCGTCGTCGTCTGAATTGGCAGCTGAGCCGGGGCCGGAGGCGGCGCCGCCCGCGGCCGCGGCCTCGGTAGGGGGTTCCGGCGCGCCGGCGCCCTCCGCC